CATTAATTTATTTATCAACATATATAAAATCCTATTGACTTTCTAGAAGCTGACTACAATTTCTAGAAAGCAATGATGAAGAGTGAGCTTGAATTTTGCTTGACATGTTCATGATGTCAATATAGTACTAAATCTCACACGGAATATTACAATGTGAAATTTATTTTGTAATCTACACGTAATAAAAATATTACATTATTGATTCTACTCAACAATAACAACTACAATAATATACTAACTATTCAGAGTTGTGTAGAGTGATAAGTACTCCTTCATTCTTAATCAAAAGATTTTTATTTGATTCCCCTTGGATACAGAGTGCCTTTGTTAGGGAGCGATGCACCTTTCAATCGGGGAATTTTTTGTGTGAATCCAAATTTAGTCGAGCTCCAATGTGGATGCCGAATACCGGGTGAAATATAACAATAATAAAAAGAACCTTCACGTCCTCCTATCAAAGGTTTTTTTTTTTTTTTAAAGTTGAAGCTCTCGATGCTGTCATGTCTGATCACCTCTCATATCTCCAAGACTTTTTCGGCCTATCTCTATCTAACTACCTCTCTTCCGACCCTCTAGCATTAGATCACCTCTCCGATCTCCAATACTTTTTCGACTTATCTCTGTCTCTCCTCTGATCCTTTAGCATTAGCTTCTCATATCTCCCCTCTAGGGTTTCTTTTTATATATCGCCTCTTAACATGCTTAAATAATTTATTCTCACCTTTCATATCTTTTCATCACATAGGACACTCCCATCTTATCTTAAATATTCTTATTCAGGATCATATCTTTCTTAATAAGCTCACAAATCCATCTAAATACAACTTTAATAAACCTTTACTATTAAGTTTTTAAGTAAAGATTAAACTTTCAACATTAACCACCAAAGGTACCGATTTTTTTTGCCGTTTAAAAATGCTTAATTAAGACCTAAATAAGCATAAACCAATCGGAGATTTTGTATTATTATTATTATATAAGTTGTCATTGTAGTAGTTCATTAAATTTTTTATTAAAACACTCAAAATTCACTACATTCAGTATGTTCACATCTTTGTATTTTTTTTTGCTGACATACATCTTTGTGGTCATACTGGGATTGGAAATTAATTGCTTCTCCTCTGAAAATATTTTATAAAGTAAACTACTGAACATGCCGAACATTAATGCAATAATAATTTCTTTTGACTTTCTAGAAGTTTACCTACATATTCTAGAAATAATTAGAGTAAATTTATTGAGTTTTTTTTTTTTTTTTCTATTTGTGAATCTAACACGTTGGACTATAATATATTGGTTCAAGTTGTTCCATTTTATTATTCGATCAGGTTAGCATTATTATAATTTCTTCTCATATAATTATATCATCGTTGTTTTTGTAGACAACTTCTAGAAGCAGAATAAATTGTTTAAAAATGTTTCCCTTTCTTTTATGAGGAACCTTCACATATAGCCATTCAAAAATAGTTTAATAACTCTTCATAGCTATAGTTTAATAATTACAATTCATAGCTACATGTCATAGGGAGGAGAGTGGCAAGCGAGACTAGGAGAGAGAGGAGAGAGGCGAGCGTGAGAGGGCAAAAAGTGGGAGAGAGGTGAATTGTATATGTATATCGATTAGATAATTGTATATTATACATATGTATTTGTATATATGGCAAGCGAGATTGGGAGATGGAGAGAGAGGCGAGCGAGATTGGGAGAGGGAGGAGCGAGGCGAGCGCGATTGGGAGACGAAGGAGAGAGGGCAAAGAGTGGCAGAGAGGTGAATTGTATATGTGTATCGGTTAGATAATTGTATATTATACATATGCATTTGTATATAGAGTAAATTTTAGGTTTAGCAAACTTAAAAATCATATTTGTATGCTATAACTATAGTTTGTATAATTGCGCTCCATAACAAACTTTATGTTTGCTATGGAGCATCAGATTTGTATAAATCGTTGGCAGCCTCTTATTTGTATAAAATTTGTGTTTGTATAAAGCAAGATAAAACTGTATATACAAATACAAATACATATATTTCCGTCCAATACACTTATAATTATACAAATACAGATTTTCCCCTGCCCGGTTCTCTTTTGCCTTTCTCTCTTTCTCGCTTTATACAAACACAGATTATACAAATTATAATGTATAATTTGTGTTGTATAAAGCGAGAGAGAGATTTGATATACACTCAGTTTTATTTCGATTCAATTGTATACAAATTCAAATTTCATGCAGATATACAAACACATAGAATTGAATTGAGAGGCTGCCAGCTATTTATACAAACAAGAGACTGCCAGCGATTTATACAAATGAGAGGCTGCCAACGATTTATACAAATCTGATGCTCCATAGCAAACATAAAGTTTGTTATGGAGCACAATTATACAAACTATAGTTATAGCATACAAATATGATTTTTATGTTTGCTAAACCTAAAATTTATACATTTGTGTTTGTATAAAGTGAGAGAGGCGAGGGAGAGTCTGGCGAGCGAGAAAGGGAGAGTGGCGAGCAAGAAAGCTGGGGAGAGAGGCGAATGATAACTGTTTGCTAGGGGTTACAATTAAATCAAACTGTGGTTATAACATTTAATTTGAATTAATAGTTTGCTATTTTATATAATTTTCCCTTGTATATATGGCAAGCAAGATTGGGAGAGGGAGGAGAGAGGACAGAGAGTGGGAGAGAGGTGAATTGTATATGTATATCGGTTAGATAATTGTATATTATACATATGTATTTGTATATTCTGGCGAATTATACGTATACAAACATGACTAATTATACAAACTCGAAGTCAGCCCACGTAATTAATGTATAATGTTAGTCGCGAGTGGTAACTATAGCAAACTATAGCTATGATGAGTAATTAAATAGTATCAGTTTGCTTAACCGCGTAATTTTCTCTATTTGTATTACAAAAAACCGGACCTTACGGTGTATTCTCCGCACACAAGCCCAACACTAATTTTTGTTTGAATCCAAGTAATAATTCGGTTTATCCATAAATAAAAGTAAAAATTAGGCAAATGACATAGTATAAGAAAGAAATTACTTCCTTTCCCTACTCTTTCATTAATTACCAAAAATCCCTTTTTTTAGTGTTTTTCGGATACATAATATAACAGTGTGGATACTTAATATAGCAGCGCGGATACTTTAATTAATAACGGGAAGATACTTAAATTATTAAGTTGTTAGCAGCACGGATACTTAATTAACGGGCGGATACATAATATAGCAGCGCGGATACTTTAATTAATAACGGGCAGATACTTAAACTAATAAAGTATCCGGTTAAGTTGAATTGGGGGAAAATAAGGGATTTTTGTATTTTAGTAAAAGAGTAGGGAAATATTGAGAATAGGTAAAGAAGTGTTGTGTATTTAAGTAATTTTTCCTAAATAAAAGCACAATATGTTAATCTTTTGATCCAAGAGATATCACAATTATTTAAGTAGAGTCCACAATACTTTTCGGTTATATATTTTTAAAAAAGCCACAACAAGTTTTATCGTAACGGAATACACGTGTCATAATTTGATCCGACATTTATTAAATATTGGATTGACGGATAAAATTGTGCGACTTGTCCCTATTTAGTCTTTTGTACAGTGAAGGTCATATATGCTCTAGTTTTTTGACGGGAGGGGCACCAATATCCCAAAAGTATGACGGAGGGTATTTGCATACCAATTATGATAGTTCAGAAGTAAATTTGTCCTTTTTCCCATTTTCAAATTAACAACGATATATTTAAGATTATAAATTTTTAAAAACCTTTTTTTTTTAAATTTCATACCAAATCAAATTACGTTATATAGTACTAAATAAAAATGTATTTTATATAATCTGATAATTTATAAAAAGTTTATGTCAGGATATATAAAAGTTAAAACTCTTTTGTTTGGCAGTAATCTAATTCAAATTTTCTCTTTTTCTGAAACTGGTCACAGACTATTGAAATGCAGGACGATTTCTTTTTAACATTGTTTGAATTTGAATTCTTGTATATGTGTCTAACCTTATTTTTGAAATGACATTTTTAATAGATTTTTCATCCTATTGTTAATGATTTAAACTTAATTTTTTTTTTTTAAGAATAAAAAAATCTTAAACTATTCCGCAAGAAAGAAAAAGATAAAATCGTATGACTTGAATTTTCAGGAGAGAAACATGCTCGGAGCTTACATTCATATCACAATTTTAAAATAAATAAATATGTATTTTAAATTTTTTATATCAAACAAAATAATATCACGTAAATTGAAGGATAATTTACATAAATTCCACTGATTTAGAAGCTTAGTACTTTGATACACTCTACTTTGCAGTATTATGTATCTCATCAGATTTTGGTGCAACCAGATACGTTCATATACGTCTGAATACATATATCTCGGAATACATGAGTCAAAATTATATGTAACTTATTCTAGATACATTGTATTCATGTGAATTCACATGTCTGGAGTACATATAACAAGTTTCACTCACCTCCCTTACGTCTCTCCCATTTCGCTCCTCACTTTTCTATGTATCTGATATCCCAAAAGAACGTGAATCACATCAAATACATATAAATACATGTATACATAAAAAATTTTGCTCGCCATCATTTCATTTCATGTTCTTGTCTCTTTCCCAATTTTAATTTATCTGATATCAAATATAAATGTATCTATATCCTTAAATTTTCTTGATTAACGTTATCACTACCATCAAATTTATGTCAAAAAAATGGAGTTTTGTTGATAATATCGCCAGAAAATACATTCAAAAGATCCAAGTAAGCCAGCTAGCTTTATAAATAAAAATCAGTTTCAGTTTCCACCAAAAAAAAACGTGTCAGTCCGCAAACACATGCAACCTCACATTCTTACACGTAATCACCATGCAACAATACTCCAATCTCTTTCTCCACTATATTTACTCTCCTTACTTAATTAACTCTCCATTCATCTCTTTAAACAAAAAAAAGAAAAGTAATCAGAAAAAATTCTGTGTTTTTTTGAAAAAAAGAAAAAAATGTCTCAGATTCAACCAGCTAGGCATGAGCAGAACCAGCAGCTGTCACGTCAAGTGGCTAAAACCACTACGGCGGTGACGGTGGGTGGGTCATTGATGGTGTTATCCGGGTTGACCCTTGCTGTAACTGTAATTGGACTTGTTGTAGCAACGCCTTTGTTGGTTATTTTTAGCCCGGTTCTTGTACCCGCTGCTATTACCATTTTCATGATTCTGGGTGGGTTGTTGGCTGCTACTGCATTTGGTGCTACTGCTACTTTTGTTTTCTACTGGATGTATAGGTACGTTACCTTCGCAGATGCAACATTTCAAATGTTACTTCTGTGCCAAGTTTGATTAAGCACGGAGTTTTTTTTTTTATTTTGTAACTCTCTATGTTTCTATATTTGTTTGGAGTTTGATTAAGCATGAAGTTAAAAAAAACGTTAATACTCTTATGTTTCTACGAGTTTAATTTTTTTTTAAACGTTACACACTTATGTTTGAATTTGGTTGTATTTATTTCTTTTATAATTTGTTTTAAAAGGTGTTTTTTTTTTAATTCAGACAATTTTTTGATTTCATCTTACTACCTGACATGTTTAATATACACTGCATATATTTAATTTAATATTTTGTGGTTTAAAAGTTCTATTTACTTTTAAAACTCCGTGTCAAATTAAAATAAGATAAATTGAAACGGAGTATTTTAATTTCTATGTTTTGATTTGATACGGGATTTAAGAAATGATTTTTCGGAACTTTGTAATTTTAAGCGGTGCCATAACATTTCTATAGCTCTAACTAAAGCTTGTCTAAAAGGGCAAAATGATGAAATTATTCAAAAAATATTATGTGATACATTGATCAGACAGTGCTACATAAATTATAGGAAAATTACACTGACGATTTTGAATCTTTGATCCTCCCTTTGAAGTTGGAGGTCAAAAGTTCAAGAATGAATGTACCTTCAAATTTAAATTCTGAATCGGTGTTATGATTGCAGGTACACTACTGGGAAGCATCCAATTGGGGCGGATAAGCTAGATTATGCAAGAGATAGGCTAGCCCATGCGGCCCATGATATTAAGGAGAAAGCAGAGCAATTGGGACATCAAGCCCAGCAACAGGTTAAGACTACTACTTGAAAGAGTCTTTAACATCATCAAAGTTTGTTCAAGGAAGAAAATGCTGCTTGCTTGTTGCATGCACAACTTGTACTGTTTTCAATTTTATTTTCTACTTTTGTCTTAGTTATGTGTGAATCATGTGGTGTTGGTTTGGATTTTGTGGAAGAGGTTATGAATGGTGTTGTAACAACATTTGTATTTGGCGTAATGAGTCATGTATGTTCATAATTGTTTATTTCTCTTTCGTCTTTTACTTCATTCTAATTTCTATGGTACTGTCTTTGTTTTATTGCTTGAAACAATTTTTAACCCACCAAACAAGAGACTTAAACTGAGGCAGCAATCGGATTCACTCAGTGATTTCCACCGGAATCAACTGTTTGTTAATTTTTTGTAGAACAAGTTCATCTTTTTATTTCTTATACATTAGGAACTCGAGCCAAAAGATCTGTGTAAAGTTTAACTTGAATACCTTAACTTTCAAAATCAAATATGCTTAGGATAGAGTTCTTATAACGGAAATATAAAGAATAAAAGATCAGTGTAAAGTTTAACTTGAATACCTTAACTTATCTTAGAAGCGATTATTTCTTCTGTGATTCCTATGCCATCGCTGTATCTTTTTCCATCTCATCATAAGTTTATGCTCCAACTCTAAAATGATTTTTGCAAGCCATTTCGGGTTTCCAGTTGAAATTATGAAATATATTATGGATAATCCAATACATAGTCCACTTCCGTAGCCCATAAGAGCAGCTTTCCAAAAATCATCCAGAAATTCGGAATTGCTTTCTTCATCTGGAGAGGATGTTGTGTAATTTGTGTCTATTACATCATTATTACCACAACCTTTCGAAATTGGGAATCCGCGTAATCCATCATTGCCTGCAAATGAACTGTTCTCAAAAGTGTGAACTTGAGGTCCTTGAGGGATGCATCCTTGGAGATGATTGTGGGAGAGATTTAAGAACGCAAGAGACGTAAGAGAAGCCAGTTGTTGTGGTATCTCTCCCGAAAGTTGATTTCCCGATAGGTCCAATGATTCAACTGAAGATAAATCTCCGAGTGATGGAGGTATTTGACCTTGCAATCCATTATGAGATAAGTTTAACACGTGAAGTGCAATGAAATCTCCCATGACACTTGGAATTGGTCCTCTGAATTTATTACTTGAAAGATCAATAGCTGTGTAAATCGTCAAAATTCTAACAAGTTCAAGCATCATTCCCTTGGATACAATTGTTACAGAATCTTGGTAGTACTGGTCTCCAAGGTATACAGGCGCCTTCATTGTTCGATTAATTGTCCTCATGGCTTTCAAATGTTGAAACAAACTTGTTGGTAAGGTTTCTGTTAAGGCATTGTAAGCGACATCTAAGATTCGAAGCTCAGGAAACAAGTTCCTCATCCTTGATGTTCCGATGGGACCATGCAATCTGTTTGATCTCAAACTTAAAACTTGCAGCTTTGGTAGAGTTGCCAACCACATGGGGAATGTGTCGTTGAGGTGATTGTTTCCTAGATCAAGAACTTGCAACTCCTTGCAATTGGCTAAAGATCGTGGGAGTTTCCCCTGTAGCTTATTGTCATGCAAGTTGAGGCTCCTAAGTTGTAAACTTCCAATGCCAAAAGTTGTTGGAATTGTCCCAGACAGATTGTTCTGATGCATATCAAAAACCTCGAGGCTACTACTGACATTACCCAAGCATTGTGGTATCTCTCCCATCAAGTTGTTTTTTGCTAAATCTAGGACTTTTAGTGATCTCAAATTGCAAACAGATGAAGGAATTTCCTCACTAAGATTATTGTTTGACATGAACAAGTATTGTGTGGAATTTGGTAGAATAGGAAGTGGCCCTTGAAGAAAATTGGACCGCAAATCAATGATATATAGAGAGGGATAAGAAATTGAGATTATATTTGTTGAGTTCATATCTGTCAACATATTGTGGGACAAATTAAGACGGTCCAAGTTAAGCCAGATAGGCCATGCCCAATCTGGAATTCTTCCCTGAATCTTATTATTCGAAAGATTCAAGTCCCAAAGTTTCTTTACTGGTCTTAGAAACTCCAATTCTTTTACTTCACATGCGGCCAATCGCAAACTAAAAAGAGATTCTGGCAAAGTAAAATTAGCCCTGTTCTCATTGGTTAATGAGAAACGATTATATGAAAGATCAAGGCCCTGAAGATTTTTGATGTTTGAAAATAAGCTGACATCCACATTGCCACTAAAATTATTAGATGAAAGATCAAGCCACGTTAGGTTCACAAGGTTTTGAATTGACTTGGGAAGACGGCCTTGCAGCTGATTATTGTTTAAATCAATAGAACTTAATGAATTGGACTTGAAATCCTCAAGATGACCAGAAAAGTGGTTGTCACTCAAGTCTAATTCAATTAGTGATGGAAGGGAGAACATACCGGATGGTATTGTTCCATTCAGGGAGTTACCTCTAAGGTATAAGGACTCTATGCGAGTGAGATTTGACAGAGAAAAGATTTCAGAAGGAATTTGACCTGAGAAATGCGAGTCAAAAAGATGAAGATGGGTCAACCTTGAAAACCTTCCAAATGCAGGTGAAATGTGTGAAGAAGAGAAGTCATTCTTAGAAAGAATGAGCTTCTTGAGATGAGAGAGTTGGAATAAGCTACTATTAGAATCAATCACTCCAACAAGTTGACTGCAACTGACATCAAGCTCAATAACATGGACACTCATCTCATCGCATGTTACTCCATCCCATAAGCAGCAATCACTGCTCGTATTCCATGAACTCAATTTTGAATAATTGTAATGACAAATATCATACGAGGGATCAATAGTAAGTGATTTCTTGAAATTTAGAAGGGAAATGCTTTGATCTTTAGGGCACAAAGATGAAGAAAAAGCAATTTGACAGAGAAAAACAATTAAGAGCACAGCTGAGAGTTGCATGTAGCCCATGTTTGAATTAAAAAAAGAGTTGGTACTGAAAATTTGAGGAATCTATGCAAATACATAGAGGGGAAGAAATCAAGTTATTTAGTCAACGTTGCTGCAAAGTCTATGAGTTTCATAAAGTATAATATATACAAATAAGCAATTTGACTGAGAAAGACAATTAACAGCACAGCTGAGAGTTGCATGTACCCCAATGTTTGAATTAAAAAAAGAAGTTGGTACTGAAAATATGAATAATTTATAAAAAAATATATTTAGAGGAAAGAATCAAGTTCTTAGTCATGGAAAGTCTCCGTGTTTGATAAAGTAATATATTACAAAAATAAGAAAAACAATGTGAAAGGAAAGACAATTAAGAGCACAGCTGTAGACCATGTTTGAATAGAAGAGTTCAAAAGTCAAGGGTAGGTTTGGATAATCAATTATACTATTGCAAGTTGTTCACTAATACACATATAGTCAGTACTTGCTTAATATTCACTTTTCATGTAAAAGATTTACGTGTTATACATGTGCAAAAGCCCAAATAGGTGAAATTTTTGTAGACTCCCAAACATGCAGGATTCTAACTGATCTAACAGGTTAAAGAATTCATATTGCGGTGGATGCAGCTCAGTTTGAGGTCTGAAATTCAGGAATTTCGACCAATTTTCCCCAGTATCCAAGCTAACTTTCGGCAGCCTTAAAAGGAAAAAAAAAAAACAAGGAAGGTTACCTGTAATAGGCTACTTGGAGTAGATGCACCATGTGAAAGTGGTCAGGACCTCCTTCCATCAAGTTCATAGAGTTGTTCTGCAATGTGACAAGTTTATGCAACTTCTTGTCTTCTGTAATGATAGCTTAAGGTTCAAATCTAGGTTGTTAAACCACAAGGTTAATTGAGTTGATAAGGTTTATATGCAGACCAGAAAGAGCCATAAAGAGAGAGAGTGTTACCATCAACACATGTGAAGTAGATGAAATGGGTGTCTATATTTTCAGAAGCCTGCAAAAAGAATGCACTGATTGTTGCATACTATTATGCACTTGATTGTTAAAATAACCATCACTTTCACTATACAAAAGCTGATATAGAGGAGGTTCATGCCGTTAAAACTTCATAAGAATCACTCTATTTGGATCCATATACTCAAAGTGGTAGAAAAACAGGGTGAAGTTCGAGCAGAAGGATGGGTTTGCTATCTTTATAACCAAAGTCTAAGCAGAATAACCAACTATGTTCATGTGAGCAAACAACAAATATTACCGACTTTGAACTGAGATGGCCACAAATTTGCCAATGATTTTGTACAACTTATAAAAGATAATGCTTGAACGCCAAATTTTCTTCAAGCCTACAACCTTTGTGCTGAGGTTTCTCAGTTAAATACACATACTTTATAGAATGGGAGTGTATCAAAAACAATGCTGAATATTGTAAGATGCAATCACCAGAGACAAAAAAATGAACGGTTGTTTTCTTTATCTACTGCCCAAATCAATTCAACAGTTGTGATTCTTAAGGAGCTACATTGCAATGAATGTACTTTTTCTGCTGTAACTTTTGCACCAAAAGAGCGCCTATGTAACAGATAGCAGTAGCACCAGCTATATAAAAGATAAAAGAACAATGAACTTAAAGATGCAGCAAATGAAACCATACAAAAGGTTTTCAGTCGTCGTCAAAATTCTTTAAATCAGAAAGAGCATCTATTTTGCACCGTACAGCTACAGCAGGCTACCAGTCTACCACTCTCCACTTGCGTGAAATCCTTCTTCTCACCAAAGAAGGTTAGTAGTCTTCCTCAACATTATTCAATAACACCAAAAGATAAAATACTTCTGTCACAAAGCTTAGCAGGTTTAACCCTATTACCCTACCATCATCCACTTTCCTGAATTATTTCTCAACTCAAGACACTAGCTCTTCGGAACTAGTATTTAGTACCCTCCTCTGACTTCTTCATTTACTCTTCCTAGACCATATTTTCTCTTCAGGATGACAAGTGTATTATTGGATAACTGAAGCAGGTAATGCCTCATACCTGGCGATAGTATTTGTTCTCTTCATGTTCGAAGTGTACCAAAGGAAAAATCAAACATCACAGTCGAAGTGAGGTACGAGGTATACTTGAAGATGCTAACCCTACAATAAGGGGCTGTTATTTGTCCTCTTAATTAGGTTATCGTTCTTATCACCATGTTGATAATATCCTATGAGCAAGAGCAACTACTTGGTTATTTTTATCTGATGCAAGTCAGCCCTAAATTGCACTTCAAGATTGGTTTCCAGTCAGTTGTGCAAAGAAGACTTATAGTCAGATTCTATGTTTTTCTTGAATCTAGTCAATTGACCTGAATTTTCAAAGTATATTCATGTTCTTTTTTTCTCCTTTTTCCAAAATCTAAATCTTAGATCAGAACTTTAGAGAAGGTCTCTGTAGACTGCTAATACAATATACATCACTATAGCTATGAAACAATATATTCCCATAAACGCAGCATAACATATCTTTACTCATCCAAAAAGACAGAAAAGCTATGAAATAATGAAAGAGAAACTTGTGCCACACAGAATATGAACTTAACAAAGTGATGTAGAAGGATACTATTTTTTTCAATCAGGTTACAGTCCATTTCAAAGAGCACAAATGAAGTGCATCTACCCATGCCTTGTAAATTTGACACAGGCACATTAAGGCAAAAGAAAGGTGTGATTAACCCAGCCAATCACAGGTCATAAAGATCTCTTCCATTTTTTTTTTGAAAATGGTAATTGTTTCCATTTCTGTAGAACAATACATAGGTTGTACTGAAAACCATATTTACATAAGGAACTCTAATAATACTGACCTATCCCTATAATGAGTCTAAGACATCAATGATAGAGACGGTATCATTAGAGTAAATCTGATTACACCAAAAACAGAGGGTCAAAATACAATTTAGTTTGACTTGTTTCATACTACTCTCCCTATTCTCAAAAACTCTTAAGGTTCCTCTCTTTCCATATTGTCCACCAAATAGTGGCAGGGACAATTCTCCAGTCACTTCTGTTTTTTGCAAGGACAATTCTCCTATTGAAAATCTTATGATAAAGCCTCCTTGCCCAGGTGTAGACAGCTTGAACAGTTTCACTTGATGCAAAGAAAAGCAACACATAGAGAAGGAAAAATCCAAGATGGATGATTAAATTTGTTAACATAGAAGAGAATACAAGAGTAATACACATGAAATATCAATTCCAAATATTTGATATAATATTTTTTTTATAGAATATTAACAACTAAATTGCAATTGAGGAGCCGTTAATGGAATAACAACAACAAGAGCTCTAATAGGAGGGCCTCCCATGAGTTGTAGGGTAAGGTTGTCAACATATGAAGACCTTGAGGAAGTTTGTGCAAATCAACTTTTAGTTCAAAAGCTAGAACACAAAAGTGATGCTTCACACGAACAAAGTGACCAAGTTCTATGAGTTTGGTTTTGCAAATAAATCTAGACTCCTTAGCCAGCATACAAACATATAGGTCGTGGACATAAGTTGAAACAACAGGGCATGACAAGAATTGACCAGAATACTGCAATGATCTTATACCAGAGCCATCAACAGAAATTGTCAAAATGCGAGAAAATTTACGTATTAAATAATCCATAGCTTGATAAGGGAAGCAAAGTAATAAAAAGATCAACAAAACTAAAACAGAATACTTCCCAAGGAAGTTCACGAGTTTCAATATTACAAGACATGTGATAATGGGCGATTTGACAGCAAAAGCAAAAAAAAATAAAAAATCCAATGTAGAAGATTATTTCTATAACCACAGGATATGACTGATTAACTGATGTTTCAAAAGTGTACAAGAAATAGAAAAGAAGTGTTGTCATATGTTTAAGATGGTACAACACATATCTGTGTCCCTAGATTTTCAAACTCCAATCTTTCGTCTTTAATTCGGCAACGGTGCGTACTTAAAAGGAACTTCTCAAGAATGACATTTAGCATAAACACTTCCTCATTGTTGGTAATATATTTATAACTGCACTTGAAGAATTTGGTTTTCTTGCAAGAACACTAACAGATTTCTATATAAGTCTTCAACCACCCTCTAGAATTGTATACTATCCTCAGTTGTCTGTTTACCATAACAAAATCTTTTGAACTATATACTTATGAAGTAATTTCTCAATTGTGGTAATAATGCAACTAAGTTTTGAATGTCTCAGCAGAATTAGTGTGCAGGCCCTTAAATCAACTAGAAACAAAGTCAAATGTTAATCACACTTTATGCTGGTTCAATTTGCACCATAGATTCATTTGTAAGAAATTTGTTCACCCCCACTTCTTTCCTTTTTTTGTGTGTGTGAGTGTGTGTGTGTGGGGGGGGGGGGGGGGGTCAGCTGTAAGACTTCAAACTAGTCAAAAAAATAGAATTGCAAACGAACAAGTATATTTTCCCCTTCAAGAACCAAGCTGGAGTCAAAAGTAAATTTAAACCATACGAATGGGAAAGATCTTTCCAGACATTGAAAAGCAAGATACAAGTAGCATTAGCTTTGATTCTATTGTTTGATGAGAGCACTGAACTTTTGAGAAAAAGCACTCAATGTCGATTGTTGAGTACAATAGGTTTAACAGTAAATCAGACCAGCACTGCCAATAAGTTCTGACGTAAGAATCGAAAGTACAGACAACATGTATTTGTATGCAATATTTATCTATTAGAATGGACTTAGATTCCAATCCACTAAAAGACACTCTAACTTTGACATAGAAGTAGTATCTCTAACACCAGCAAAACTGAAACCAAATCTCTAGCTAGGCCATTTTACACATGGGAAACAACAACTACATTGCTTTTCCAGCAAAAATAGGTTTAGGAGGGGACAACGACCTAATTTCAGGTGCAGATGTTGGAAAAAGTATGTTGAGTTTATGCATTAAAATATCAGCCCTTGATGGAATCTCATTCAAAAGAAATTGCTGAACAATTGGTTTCTTAAACCAATCCAGTACCGCATCTCCTGGGGCCCTCAAAACAACCTTACTAACCTCGAAGGGCGATTCCACCGAGCTTAACATCTGTGCCACCACAATTTTCAAAGTTGGTCCAGTAACCAATTTGATCCGCCTAGGGACAACACCATAATACAACATCCGTTTCCTAAACCTATGAAGCGTATGTACCACGGCAACGAGAGCTGCTCCAACTGACAAGTTTCTAACATCAAGGGACCAGGCAATATGTTGATCAAACACTATAGCCTTGGGGAAAAGCTTGTTTTCATAGGCAACTTTCCATACACAACGAGCACGATTTATTTGTCCCATGAGAACAAGATAGTTGAGGAGAACATTAACAAAATACCTTGAAGCTCCTTCTTCCAGCTCATAATCAATGCCTTGGAAGAATTCCCTTACAAAAGTTAAAACTGGTTGTTTCCTCTGCTCTGGCCCAGTAAAGAGCCCACACATGAAAGTGTGAGCCTTATGTCTTGTAGCACTCAAGATTGACATTAAATGCCTCTCATTGTTCTCATCTTGGCATCTTACTAAATGTGCTAAAATTGAAGTGTAAAGAATGAGGTCAACTTTGGCAGCAGAGTTCACATATGTTTCAAGGAGAGGCTTGGCTTGCTCGTACACCCCGCTCTTCATGCATGATTCAAAAAGCTGCCGGATAATGAAATTATTTGTCCTGATGGCTGATGAACCCATAAACCGTAGCCACCTTAAAGCAAGATCAACAGAACCATCTTTAATGTAAACCATCAAAACATCACTAGCATTCACATCAACTGAATATCCCATGGCCTTCATTTCCAGTAAAATCTTTGCAGAAACGTCCAGAAGCTTCTTTTTGGCAAGAAGGGTTAGCAAGGCTGTATAAGTACTCAGTCCTGGTCTCAGACCTGCATTTGTCATTGAGTTATAAAGCTTCATTGCAGCATCTACCTGACCAGAAGCAGCATGCATCTCCAGGAGAGAAGAATAGGTGGACGGAGTGGGCAAAAATCCCGCCTTTTCCATATCTGAGAAGACAGACATTGCAACATCAAGTTTCCCAGATTTTGCATGGGACTCAACAATCATGGTGTACAGCCCATAGTTAGGTCTAAACCCTGATTTTTTCATTTCATCCCACAGCCTTAGAGCAGTCTCTAGTTTTCCAGCTTTCACAAAAGACTCAATCAAGGATACGAACATAGTGGCAGATGGCCTGAACCCAAAACCCTGCATTTCAGTATATACCTTTAGTGATGTGTCCAACCTCCCAGCTTTACCCATTGAATCAACCAGCGAGGCAAAGATCCCAAAACCTGGTCGGAAGTTGTTCACCTTCATCTGTTGGAAGAGCTTGAACGCTGCATCAAGGCGTCCTGACTTAGCTAGACTTGGAATCATTAACTCATAACTCGATGCATCTAATGAACACCCAGCTTTTTCCATGTTCTCATATATCTCAAATGCCTTATATGGCAAACCATTGTTTAAGAACACGGTGATAAGGGAATTGTACGTCCCGGTGTCAACTATGCAACCAGACTCTTGAATTTTCTTAAAACAACAGAATGCTACCTCAAATTTCTCTGCCTTAGCTAGGTACTGGATGACTCGATTATACGCATTAAATAAAGACGACGCCCCATTCTCACCTGAATCAAGAACCATATCATCGAAAACCGATTGAATTCCATCAAAATCTCTACTTTGGTTCAATTTATCAAACAGTGTGATATAACATGCATCATTTGGCTTATACCAAGGTTGTCTCTTTGCCCACCGAAACAAACTCAATGAAGCATCACTATCTTCCATAACTTTCAATGCTTGCATAATATGAGTCATATTTGGTATAAATTGGAGCTTATCCAATTGGGTCTCCATTTCAGGTCCCCATCTCCACCTCTTCACTATCTCAACAAGCTTTGCTACTGCGGAAGCATTCAAAATAGGCTTTTTCAATCCACCCACCATTACATGGTCATCCATCCCAGGCTCAACCGACCTTATTCCCTTCCCGGAGTAAATGACACTCCCTGATTCATCCAGATATTCTACATCTTCAGTCCATTCATCACTGTTCTTCCCAGAACAGTAGTATCTAGAAGAAAAGTAAGGTCCTTTGACGTTGAAATTACATGACCCAGAAGTGTTCCGAAATGGATGATAATTCCGATAAATTTCGACTAAGTTCCGGGTATGTTTCAAGTTTCTATAAAACAGAAGCATTATATAGGAGAGAGACAGAGACTGTGGGGAAAGTAATTAGGGTTCCGGCGAAAATGGGGCAAGGGTTTAGCTCGGTACATATGCTGCGGCGGCGGCGGGGTTCATTTGCAATGGTGAATAGTCCACTGAGCTGGTGAATTTGAACCTATTTGAGTTGGTACGAAGGAAAACGTGTTCTTCATCAGCGTCGGAGGAAGAAGGTCCCTAGAACTGGCACAAATGGGTCGGGTCGGGTCATTATATTCACTTTCCGGGGAAATGATCAAAATGGTCCTTAATGTATGGGCTTTGATTCCATTTGGTCCTTAATATATGAACTTCATGGAAATGGTCTTTTATGTATCATAAATTGTGATCAATTTGGTCCTTAACCCTACAATTAATATATATATTTTTTGCCATCAAAATACACGGAATATGTAAAAGATGCGCTCGTTCAAGACTTTCCTTCCGTTGTTTCCAAAAATTTCAAAAGGGCACATCAATTTTTTTTAACCAAAAGGGCAAAATCGCTCCTGACGGAGCGATTTTCTTCTGACAAAATTGATGTCGTTACTCCTTTAAAAAACATAAAAATCGCTGTCGATACAATTTTTTTTCTTTTTTCTTTAAAATCGCTACTGTGAATTTATTTTTTAACAACGCTGCCCCAGCAGCGTTTAAAAAATAGAAATAGCTGCTATAGTAGCCATTTTCTTAAAAAAGTTAATTTTTTTTTATTAAAAATTCCCGAGGCGAGAACTACTTAAAAAAATAATGGGAAATCGCTCCCACGGCAACGATTTCAGTAGAAAAAATTTCCCAATTGAGTTACTTTATAATTTTTTATTGTATACTTTTTGATTGCTAGCAACAATTGGAAAATAATAATAAAAATTCTTACTGAAATTGCTGCCTTGGCAGCGATTATTTTAAAAAAAAATTAACTAAAATCGCTACACGTGGAGCGATTTCCCATTATTTTTTTAAGCAGCCCTCGCCTCGAGAATTTTTAATAAAAAAAAATTAAACTTTCTTAAGAAAATGGCTGCTGTAGTAGCTATTTCTATTTTTTAAACGTTGCTGGGGCAGCGTTGTTAAAAAAAATTCACAGCAACGATTTTAAAGAAAAAAAAAAAGAATTTGGACCGACAATGATTTTTATGTTTTTTAAAGGAGTAACGGCGTCAATTTTGTCAGAAAAAAATTGCTCCATCAGGAGCGATTTTGCCCTTTTGGTTAAAAAAAAATGATGTGCCCTTTTGGAATTTTTGAAAACAGGGGAAGAAAAGTCTTGAACGAGCGCATCTTTTACATATTTCGTGTATTTTGACGGCAAAAAAAAGAAATATATTAACTTTAGGGTTAAAGACCAAATTGATCACAATCTATGATACATAAAGGACCATTTCCATCAAGTTCATATATTAAGGACCAAATGGAATCAAACCCATACATTAAGGACCATTTTGATCATTTTCTCTTCACTTTCCATTTTAGTTCATTTATGAAACAACTTTTTTTTAAGCAATTTTTTAATCCAACTTTCCACAATCCACATAATGTGTATTAATTACATATTCAAAAATTTATACGTTTAAAACTCTCCTTAAAAAAGTCTTTTTTACTTTCTTATATTTTATACTTTATGTCAAGTTAAAAACGGACAAATAGTATATGTCTATGGTGAAAATAGATTACTTCTTACTTGATGTGTAATTGTTTTCATTAAATTCCCACGCGAGACGCGTATTGTATATGTTAATACTTTTTTTTTAGTTTTCTACCGAGTGTTCGAAACCCACATTGAAGCTCCGATTAAATTTGAATTGCGCTTCAGGGGTGACGCTCCCAACATGATTTTCTTCATACTCAAGGCTCGAATCCAAAACCTCTGATTAAGGGTGAAACATTCTCACTAGTACACCACAATTCATGTTGGTATATATGTTAATACTTAATAGCTACGCTAGACAGCCAAATTGGTAATGTTGGACCGACTCATTTCTAAGACAAACCTGATTTAACATTTGCGCTACAACTTTTTGTCTAAGGTTTGTATAACAAGTGCGTCTTTGATTTTTATACAACAGTGGCTGAAGACAAAAGGATCTCAGTCAAGGTATGCAGTGGAAATGGTTCCATGTCAAAACGTGATGACATAAGTCCATCTTTAGCTCTTTCTACATTAGAAATGTGACCAAAAGATACACAGGCCATACAACTCTGCGCTCATGGAGCATCACCTTTAACTCTCTTCGATATGGCAATGACGTTGAAGTTCATCGAGTCTGGATTTTTTTGCATCATCTTTTGTATAACTTTAGCAGCATCCTGCAACAGTCGAGAATTGTTATGATTAGAGAAGGATTTAAAAGAATAATATACTCCACACAGCAGTCTACGGAAAATTTTAGATAACTCTCTGGTTACACCGATAATAACTAGTGTTATTTGCCAAATCATTGTTTCATACACATTCTGACCTCCATTCATCACTTAATTGTTGTGAATTTAATATGGTTAACGGCTCCTCTGGGAAGAACATATTGGAGTATGGTGTTTGATTACTTAAATCAGCATCCTGAATGAGTGTATCAGATTGTGTGTTCTAAAGTTAATACTAATGTTTTACATGAAAAGGACTTTTATCATGGACTTGTAAAAGGGCAGGTTCGCATCTACTGGGGAAACACTATGGTCAGCCATTGTCAAACACGTTTTATTGTATTTTCCCATCTCAATTTGGTCTGCTAGAGAGTTTTCGGGTAGTGAGTACTTGCTTATTATTTGTTTTTCATGTAAAAGTGTGCATCTTCAAAGCCGAGATAAGTGAAAATGGTGGAAACTTCCAACATGCAGGTTCTAACTGATCTCATGGGGTCAAAGAATTCAGGTTGTGGTGGATGAAGTGAATACAGGTCGTGGTCAATGAGGTTCAGATTGACATGAAATCTGGGTTTCAGGCCAATTTTCCCTCACTGTTTGGTCTAACTTTTGGCAGCCACTAGGTTTCAAAAAGGAAAGAAATATTGAAGGTTACCTGTAACAGGCTGCTTGGAGTAGATGCACCATGTGAAATTGGTCTGGACTTCCTTCCATCAAGTTCATAGAGTTGTCCTGCAACGTGACAAGTTTATGCTACTTCTCGAATTCTGTATGATAGCTTTAGGTGCAAATATGGGATGTTAAGGTTTAATATAATTGATAATCACTATATAAATGCAACTTGTTCACTAATATACAGCCTCCAATTGTATGTTCAATGCGACCATAAGCTTAAATTGTGCTGTCATTTCTCTCCATCTGGTCATTCTCAAAGATAGAAAAAGGAAAAAAAAGTAGCCAAAGCTATTTGTGCATTTCATAATGTAGAATTAGGTCCTTATGCAGTCCAAAGAGAAAGATAGAATGTTACCATCAACACATGTGAAGCAGATGAAATGGGTGTCCACATTTACTGGAACCTGCAAAAAGAATTCACCAGATTGATGCATACTATTTACAGACATCATTAAATTGAATATGATCTGTAGTTGCATATAATATACACTAGATTGTTAAGGTAACTGTCACTTTCACTATACAAAAGCTGATATAGAGGAGGTCATGACCTTAAAATTTCATAAGAATCACTCTATTTGGATCCATGCACTCAAAGGGTAGAGAAACTGATCAAAGTTGGATGGTTTTGCTATCTTTGTAACCAAAGTTTATGTTAAAATTAGGTTTTAGGCCTAACTTATACCCCAAAAGCAAGCTCAAAGGGAGGAGGATTGTCCAAGCCTTATAAGGAGTCCACCCATTTCATTAACCACCGATGTGGGACTTTTGTCATTCTTTAACACCCCACCTCACGCCCAGTGCTTAGCATCTGGTGCGTGGGCAATTTTGATTTTGGGGGCCCCAACATCGGGTGAGACTGGCCCTGCTCTGATACCATGTTAAATTAGGTCTTAGGCCTAACTCACACCCCAAAAACAAGCTCAAAGGGAGGAGGATTGCCCAAGCCTTATAAGGAGTCCACCCATCTCATTAACCACCGATGTGGGACTTTTGTCATTCTTTAACAGTTTAAAAAGACTAACTAATGTGCAATTAAATTTTGTTCAAAAACTATGAGCATGAAAGTGCTTCCTCGCACGAACAAAGGCGTCAAGTTCTATGAGGTGCACTTTGCAAATAAACCTGGACTTTTTAGCCGGCATACAAACACATAAGTCGTGTCTGTAATGGACAAGGCAAGGACATGGAGACAGTAAGTTGAAACTACAGGGCATGGCAAGAATTGACCAGTATACTGTAAAGATCTTATAACAGAGCCTCAACAGCCGGAACTGTCAAAAGCAGAGAAAATTTACATATTCCATAATCCATAGCTTTGATAAGAGAAGCCAAGTAATAAGCAGATCAACAAAACTGAAACACAATATTAATTCTATTTATTCAAATCTATTTCAATATCACATCGCATGCCCATTTGGTTGAAAGTTACAGGACATGTGTGTATAAGAAATAGAAAAAAGAAGTGCTGTCAAGTTATCCAATTCCAAGATGGTATTAACACATATCTGTGTCCCTAGATTTCAAGGTCCAACCATTTGTGTTTAATTCGGTAATGGTGTGCACTTAAAAAAACTTCTCAAGAATGACATTTAGCATGAGAATCACCTCATTGTTGATAAAATATTTGTAACTACACTTGAAGAATCTTTTTTTTTTGCAAGAACATTAGCACATTTCTTTATTGGTCCTCAACCACCTTCTCGAATTGCAGACTATCCTCAGTTGTTTGTTTACCATAGCAAAATCTTTTGAACTACATACTGATGAAGTAATTTCTCAATTGTGGTAATAATACAGCCAAGTTTTGAATGTCTCAGCAAAATCAATGTGTAGGCCCTTAAATTAACTAGAAACAAAGTCAAATTTCAATTGCATCTTATGCAGGTTCAGTATGCACCAATAATAGTTTTGATAAAGCTATTTGTAGAATTTGCCATATTTGGCTTGTTTATTAAATCACATTAACAACAGTTGAAACATACACTTTCTCTAGGCCAAGGGATATTGAGGCACTACATATTATCAGACTTCGAACTAGTCAAATGGTTCAAATTGCACAAGAACAAGTATATTTTTTCCCAAGAATATGCAACAGGTTTACATGAAAAGAAAACTATCATTTTATATCTACAATTGGTCGCATCTTCAATACATTATTTATTTAGAAAATAAGAAGACACGTGAACCCTTACCTCAGTGTCACCAGCAGTAGCTGCTACTGAATGAGCAACCTCTATTTCTCTATCACTTTCAAGGAATGAAGCACGCTGCATTTTATACGCATGCTAATGCGCTTCGTGAATACTAGGAAATATTATGTCAGTAACCAAAATGAAACTAAACCAAAACGAATACCTCCATCGGGTCCATGCATGCAGTTGATTTAAAGAACTTGTCCAAGAATGAGCCTTCATCTAGAGCACAAAAAGAAGTATTGGCATCGTGAGATAGATTGGAACAGGAATGGGGTAGGAATCATGTGGAACTAGACTTAGAGGTGGAGTTGCACGAGTAAAAGAAATTGATGATAGATTATCTTATTAAGACTAGTATGGGAAAATGAGATCATCAACACCATTCTTATGTTCGAGGTGGAGTTGCACGAGTAAAAGAAATTGATGATAGATTATCTTATTAAGACTAGTATGGGAAAATGAGATCATCAACACCATTCTTATGTTCAGTAAACAAGATTAAATAAGGAAACTAAAACTAGATTCTAGGAAGATATGGATATCCTGGTCCAAGGGATCTTTACCAACATATCTCTAATAGGGAGGTCCAAACGGACATGAGGAGAGAATATAGCGGTTTCTAACAACTAAATTGGGAATATGGTTATGGTACCAAAAATTGGTGACTTATTATTCAGTTGTAGCCTTGTACACCTGTATTCTGTTAAGTGTGAGAATTTAGAGAACTTATAATTCACCTTAAAGTAAAAATTATTAATTGGAATCATGACTTCGAACTGCCGCAAACAAAAGCTGGTATTTAAGTGAAGGGTAGAGGAACGGGCCCATTATCCACAAAATATCGAACTGTGACCCAACTGGCCCCCGGGAATTTTATGGTTAAGAAAAAAAAATTGGAACGACATGAACCTGAATAGAGTAGAATCAATATAAAAGATTCATATAGTTGATTCCAAATTTCCAACTAACACAGGATACAGCTACAGTTGATTGATTGACTAAAAATGTAAAAGGTCAATTTCAAATAATACATTCTTGAGAATAAGTTGTGATGTAACCAAGAAACCCAGTTCCTACACTACACATCTCTTGTAGATGATAAATGAAGCCCTTAAAAAGCAGAAATCAATATATTAGGTAACTTCCCAGTTAAGAGAACACAATGTGATCATAAGGAATCCAATGCACTTGTCTTGGTAGTACTCTATATTTGATGCAAACAACAGATATTAACATGCAAGAAAATTAAAATGACCTACCAAGTTTTATCTCTGAGGTAATATTCCCAATAGCATGAAGCAGGCCAATTGTTCCACATGCATTTCCCACTGTTTGTTTCATGAAGTAAATGGTACTTGTGGGGTCCTGCACCTGCACGCAACTCTCATGAATAATTCCTAATTCAAAATGATGCAGCAAACAAGATAGGATACATGTAACAGTTAAAACACTCATACGTTGCAATACCACTCAGTCAAAGAAAGGGAGGAAGAGATTGACAAGGATGTCAAGGAAATATTTTCAGAGAAGAGAATGACGAATTGATGATTGCATTTATGTGACAGATCCTGAAATCCAATTTAGCACCAAATATTTATCATATTGCAATGCTTACCAACTCATCCAAGTGAGACCGTCAACTCCAACTGTCCTTATAGATAGGCGAAAGTCACCCCCTCTCCTTAGAGTCAAGTGGCTTTCACTCCTTCAAATCCATTATATTTGGAGGCCTAACGAGTGACAATGGTTCACGGTCCAACTGCTAATTCAAGTTACCTTTCAAAGAGATTCCGCATCTACTTATTTCGGGATGAAGACATGTCGACCTTACAATTGCTAATTGAGGCCTAAGGTAAAGCAATAACTGTATTAAACGTAGCTGATTCAGATAAAACACAACTTGGAAGAACTGATAAAAGATTGATAGTAGCAAGAAGAATAAAATAGGGTAAGATCAAAGATCCAACTCCCAAGCAGATGCTACATGTGTAGAAAGGAGGCTGGAAGTAACAGACAACTATTCTTTCACTGTGAGGTGGCCTCAGACATATGGAACATGTTTTTTTTCGTCTCTTTGGTCTCAAATGGACCACACCCCTCTTTCAGTTAAGGATGCTTATGAGAGTTGGAGCCAATGGAGAGCTGGAACATGGTTCCTGCTTGTGTTTTTTGTGTATCTGGTTAGAGAGGAAAAGGAGATGTTTTGATGGGGAGTCAACTACATTAGATGTTTTGAAGGCTAGGTGTATTTCTAATCTGTTTAGCTGGTCCACTTTGCATCCTGATATTAATGCTGAACATCTTCTGGACTTTATTAGCTCTCTAGTTCTGGCTTAGGTAGAATTTGTACAGCCAACCTGTCATTTTTTGTAAGCTCAGTTTCCATATCTTGTAACTATTGCATCTTCTTGATGCTTTTTATTAATATCACTTACTTCATTAAAAAAAAGATACTTAGAATGTAGGCTCCCCTACATCTAGAATAGGAGGTCATGCAAGACAACTGCCTACTCAGCCAGCAAGTAAAGCTTCCAATTAAACTAAAATCTGTCCAAGCGGATTAACAATAGACAATGTTACATGATGAACTACACAACAGTGAAGCAGATGCAATGACATTATCATGCAACAACCAACTCAGAACAGCAACATTCATTATTAAGAGACATCACAACATGGCCAACCAAATAATTGTTACGGGAATAATAACTTAACGTGTGTCAAATCGAAATATGAGCAAAAGTGACATGAAGTTCCTGAATTCTGTAAATACAGCATTCACCAGTAAGAAAAATCAAAGGGTGGTGATGGAAGCACTGCAGTCATAATCTAATAACAAGATATAGTTCATAAAGATATGGTCATGAGCTCATGAAAGCCACCTTTGTTTCACTGTCTTGCTGTACTCTCTCTGCTTCACTCTGAAAACACATGGCATGTAATTAATGAACTAGCATCAAACTAGAAAATCAAATCTTATTTCTTTGTTACAACAAACCTGTGATGTTAGAGGATAGAGAAACAATACAGCAAGGACCGGCTTGGGCACCATTTCCAAAAGTTCTTCATCCAACCCATAAACATCATAGCACTCTACCTCATCCGGTGGAACACCACGACTCCAAAGAAACTGCTCAATTAAGCAAAAAAAATAAAAGCATACAACAAAATAGAGTCAATAAATTACATTATCTCTATTTCTCGAGCTAAGGTTCTGTAAAAACAGCCTCTCTACGTCCCTCCAAGGTAGGGGTAAGATTTACGTACACTCTACCATCCCCACTTTGTGTGATTATACTAGCTATGTTGTTATTGTTGTTGTAAATTAGACCAAGTAGGTTCATTTCGGCAAAAATGAGATCAATCAGCTGATTAAGGTGAAAGAAACTTACCCTAATCATTCCAATTAACACTTGAGCTGATCAACTTATTAAATGTGATACTTTTTTCATAGGGAAATCAATATATTTGGAAGTTAATTCAATGAATTCTATAATGCATGACGAATTGAGGAAAAAGATCAGCAAACTCCACGTTTTTTCTACCAAATGAAACCCAGAAAAGATTCAAGTCCAGGAAATGAAAATATCGAACAGATTGGAAAAAAGTAAATAAGATACAAAAATGAAAAAAAGTGATACCTGATTCATGACATCAGGATTAGCTTCAAGAGGAAGCCATTTCTTAGCAATGTCGGCCATGGATTCCTTCTACTTCTCTTAGCTCTGCTCTGTTTTGGAAGGAGACGTAGCGTATACTGTGTGAACTCTGAAGCGGTCTCTTCTTTATATACGTTTTGCAAAACTAAAATTTACTCATTACACGTGTTACTCTTTTGGCCAAACTATATATATGTAGCTAAAAATTTCCGTCTCAAGCTAGGTGGCACCGTTTGATTTGATATAAAATTTATAATAATTAAATTATATAGTCTAAAATAAATTTCAAATATTTATATAACTATAAATCATCTTATTAAGTGTGAAAGAAGAATATTATAATTAATTTATTTATAATATAGTAAGGATAACTTTGTTTTTTTGGCCAAACTGAAAAGGAATAAATTAAGTTGATCTGATGTAATTGTTCTTAACCGGTTAAGTATTTAGTTTTGGTTTCCCACCCACCCAATTTTTGACCATTTCCTTATATATATTATCTTGATTTTCCTTTGAAAGATGCCCCATTAATTGGAGAATCATCAAAAGTATTCAAAGACCTCTTGCATGTTTTCTCTTGTGATAATGTATTCCCAAGTTGGATTTTGAATGTTGTTCACAGTGCTTCGTTATAAGCAAAGACACAACGGGAAAAACTAAGAAATGAATCATGATGAATTCGATATATAATTGGAGTAGTTTATTTTGGTTTTCGTTATGAATGATCAGTTTATCTATTTTGGATGTGTTACAATTTTTTCATTCACCCTTATACTGAGGTTTTCTCCTCTCAGCAAATGCAGCAAGGCCTTCTACGCGATCTTTTGTGTCTAACAGTTGTTCATAGCAATCCCACTCCAAAGCTAAACCTGATTCTGTATCTAGCTCCACTCCTTGGTCAATCGCACGTTTTGCCATCCTTAAAGCAAGCGGACCCTGTCAGAGATTCATAAGTCAAACACTTCATCGAACGCATTATGGCCATTCAACTTGGGACTAGAAGAGCATATATAGGTAACAGGGGGAAAAGGAAAAAGGATAAAGAAAGGCTCTATACATAAGGAAAGGATTGGATTTGGTAGCTACTGCCATGTCTTATCCGCACAGGTTTGACTAGTATCAGTAGAACATTTTTCGATAAATGAGCATCTAGGATGGAAAGCATGTGGAAATTATTAAATGTGGCTTTTACTTGGTTCTTTTTACTCAGCCTTAGCTCTCTAATCCAACTCACCATACGAAACCAGAAATATTCAGAAGCTCATGAAACAGAAAGGTTTCCGCTCGCATGAAGAAGACTTATAAAATGCATCAAAAAGGAAGAAAAGGGAAAGAACAATAGAGCAATACTTCTTGTTGGCTATGTGAACTTAAAAATAGCTAAGAATTGAAAAAAAAAAAGGGAAAACAACAAAGAAATCCAAAGCAACCAACTATTGGTATAATAAATGAGCGCCCGCCTAAGATAAAACAAGATGGGAAAAAGGAAAAAGACAAAGGCAGAAAGAAAATCTGTCACAAAAAATGAAGGTGCACAAAGAGGAAAACAAACAAGCATGGGATTAGTAAATGCCATTAACTTAAGGGTCCAAGGAAGATGATGAAACTCCAAAGAAGAGCTTTAATATCATTCAAAAATGCACAAAAGAAAAGAAAGAGCAGCGAGAAACATACTTGATGGCCTTGAAGGGCGTTACCTCATAAAAAGTCAAAAGGATAAAAAAAGTACTCGTGCCAGAATTACTTCTAATGAATCTTTAGATTACTGGAAATTATCTGTGTACAGTACAGTGTGGATATCTTTTTTATATATAGGAAGTGGTGTAGTCCTTTTATGTTTCTCTTTTTTCTTCTTAGTTCCTGACTAAATTGCTATTGGAAGTCATAAAGGGTGCCACACTGGATAAATACATCAAACATGATTTATCTCAATAACAAATGTCTAACCTTCTGATTAATATCCCTAGCAAGTTCAAGTGCCTTGAGACGAGCCTCACCAGCAGGAACACAGTAATTGACAAGCCCTGCATGACATGTATTTTTCATTCTAAGAACCTGGAAAAGAAAACCATAGGAGAGTGGAGACCAGGGTCCAAAATTCCAGCATAGGCAAAAAAGTTAGAGGATCTCATTCTATCCTGCCTAAACCTTGGCGGATGCTGTTATACAGCTGTACCGTGGGAGCATGCAGGTAACCCAATGGAGTTGTCGAGGGGTTTGCAGACATCACCTTCATTTTGTATTGATAAGACAGAGAGAGAAGAGGGGGGAGTTTGGGAAAGACAGAAGAGCTCTGTCTCTTGACAAATGAGCTATGACAAGTCATACACGTACCAATTGATCCAGCATCTTTCCCACTTATCTTTCGTCCAGTAAATATTATATCTTTTGCAATTGATTTTCCAACCAATCTAGGAAGCCGTTGCGTTCCTCCTGCTCTGTAAAGTACAAAATGGAATAAGAGGGTAGCATTAAGAAAACATCTTAGCATGAAGTGACTGCAAGATAGTGGAAATATCCAGCTGATCTGATAGAATTAGAACAAAACACATCCTTGACCGAATTAACGGATTTTGTATAAGCAAACATATACAGTGTGATTGAGCATACCCTGGTATTATAGCAAGCCCTGTTTCAGGTAAGCCCATCACTGCATCTTCACCTGAGTAACAGATCATCAAACTAGAGAGAAAGAAAGAGAAAATATGGCATAACTCAGAAGTACAAGAAGAACATACCACATATCCGGATATCACAAGACATTGCCATTTCAAGTCCCCCACCCAATGCTATACCCTCAATGGCAGCAATTGTAGGGATATGAAGAGCCTGAGTAAAAGAATATTTACTCAAAAGGAGAAAAGAAAGGAGGATATGTACAACTGGCTCATTTTATGGTTGTTAAAGTAATAAGTGAAGAAGAAGAAATGAGATACAGTATGATGTCATGAACCAATAATTTTGAATGTATAAACTCATAACCCCTTCTTACATCCAAAAAAAGAAAAATAACTTCTTGAGCTTTAAGACTCTATGGTCTTTAATAATATTAAAAGAAACAGCATTACAAGTCACATACCTCCAAAAAGGAAAATGTTGATCGCAAAGTGCTTACAAAATCCTGAACTTCTGAAAGAATCATAGTTTTTCGTTCCTGCGTAGCAAATGCCAATCAAGTGAATTAGCTATCAATACGTACAAAACACAGTATGAATAACAAACAGTAGAAATGCTACTACAGTAGTGCATAAATCAGCATCTGATACCAAATATCAGCCTATTCAATCGTATGATAAACTAATCCTAAAACCAATCCCCATACAGAAAACCACATCTGCAAGGATGTTTTCAACCACACAGAGGATGCACTTATGAAGTCCAGAGAGATCACACAACAGAGAACTTATCAACATGAAAATTGTATGTTTGGCAGTTGTTTCTTTATGCATATCTCATCAAAGAAAGTCATTATCTAGAGAGAGAATCTCTCACTTCTCACTAAATCCTCTGCAATTTTTGTGACCGTTTATAGTCGTTGGAGCTGCGGCTCCGACCAATGTTTCTCATGGTGGACCTTCCTGCCCCCCGTGACCCACCTCCGCTACATCTGCAACACCCTCACTCACAGATGGTCACTAACCCCAACCTTCAAATTCATTTCCCACCACTACCAGATCCCAAATACTCTGGCAATTCTGGACTAGTGAGGCAGAACCAAAAACAAGCCTGCACAAATGTTGAAATGGGCAAGCAGATCCCCATCAATCCTGGGCTAGCTGCTCAAAGGAACAAAGGTATCGCCCATACTTCCTACGCAAACGCCACTGTTAACAGAACAGTAAGACAAAATCGAATTCGACTAGAGACGAGAGGATATGAAATCCAGGATGGAAAACCATTAGTGGTTTTCACGAAAGAAGAAAACGATCTTCTCGCTCAAACCTGCAAATGGACCATAATATGTAATATCTCACATATCCGACCTTCAATTGACATTATTCGAAAAGAATTTGCCAAAATGATTTCTAGCAAAGGCAATGTTAAAATCGGAGCGTATGATATGCACCATGTTTTCATTGATTTTGACAATGTCGATGACCACCTCAACGTCTACTCGAAAAACTTCCTCACTTTTGGGGAAACTCATATAATGAAAATCCTCAGATGGACACCCAACTTTAAACCAGAAGCTGAAACCACCTTGGCTCCGGTATGGATCAACCTTCCCGACCTTCCATGGCACTTTTATGAATGGGATGCGATTCAACGAATATGTAAATCTATAGGAACCCCATTGATCATGGATAAAGCCACCAGCTCGAAAACAAGACCGGCAACCGCCAAAGTCAGAATTGAAGTAGATCTAACAAGACCCCTTGTGTATGAAGTTCTTGTTGAAATACGAAATGAGGAAGGCAAGTTGGAAGTCATTACTCAAAAGGTGGAATATGAGACCATTCTGGCATTCTGCTCCCACTGCAAAGTTCAAGGCCATAGAGATGAAAAGTGCAGGAAACTTCACCCAGAGTTAAGACAAGAGCCTGGAAAAAACACCAATGATGTTGGACAAAGCAAAAATGTAATGGACAACCAATTTACTGATGGAAAGAAAGCTCCAATGACCAACAAAGAGAAAAATGAGGGTAACAATAAGCATCATATGTCTGCAAACCCACCTCAACAAGATAATGATCCCGGACTTAACCAACAAGAGGATGGGTGGCAAACAGTTGAAAGAAGGAAAGGAAGAACAACAAACAATGAGAAACATCAAGGAAACAATGTTATGCCACAAAGAGTTTGGAAAAATGCACAGGAGACAAAAGGAAGAAGAGTTCTACCACAGGAGAAACAGAATAGTGGAAACTTCTCTCAACTTACTAATGTGTTGGATAAAATAGAGATTACTGAAGATACTACTGCCTCAACCTCCCAAAGAGAGGAAGAATATCACCCAATTCCAACAAGGGTACACAACAAAACCACCATCAATAATATGGACAAGAAAAAACAAAAAACCAAGATCCTCAAAGCTCAAAGCAAGATAAGAAGAAACAAACATCAGAAGGAAACTAACTATCCAGACATAAAGCTTCAGGATCAGGATCCAGAGAATCTTTTGATTCGAGTGGAGGGTGAAAATCTCAACAAAACCAATAATAAGGGTAGGAAATTTGCTAAGAATATTTCCATACCCCCTGAAGTAACCTTTGTCGCAGAAGAGAGCAGAAACAGGAACAACGACAAGCAGGATATAGGTATCAAACCGTTATTTGGATTGGACCCTATACTATCTGGAATGAACACAAGAAAGAAAGTGAGAGAGATGGAACTGGAGGAAATCAAAAGGAAAAATACAATCTTTGAGCCCGTGGGAGTCAATTGAACAACCTAAGTCAGAAACTGACTGGAAATTGGGAAGACACTGCCTACAAAGACTGTGAGAAGGACACTACTATGGAAGAAGACGCAGAAACTTTGGAAAGTTGTAAGTCTGATGATGAGCACATGTGAGGTATCGTAACTAACCACCATGATGTTTTGGTGGCTAACGTCCCTTCTCTAGCTCAACAAAAGATTACTAACTACAATAATCTCTCCCCAAGAGGGCACCTCAATCAGGTTATGGAACCTGAGGAGTCCAACTCCAAGATGACATATACAGAAAACAAAGCACCATCTGATCTACACCCTAATGTTATCCATGATTAATACAATATATTGGAATATAAGGGGTATTGGTTCCCATGGTGCAGCTGAAAGATTAAAGCTTTTCAAACAACAATATCACCTCCCTTACATGTTCATCCAAGAACCTATGGTTAATGCGAGGAAGATTGATAGATTCAAAAGAATCCTTGAGTATCAACATTGTGCCCACAATATTTCCAATAAGATATGGATCTTTTGGAATAATGATCACCAGATAGACATCCTGAAAGACAAAGATCAACATATGCTCCTTCATATATCCAAAGTCCAACCTATAATATCTTTTCACATTAGTGTTGTGTATGCTATATGTGATGAGGAATTAAGGAGAGAATTATGGGATGACCTTAGAGACATTGCTAACAATGTTAATGGACTATGGGGAGTGATTGGAGACTTCAATGTCATTACAAAAGCTGAAGAAAAAACAGGTGGAAGACCCTATAAAGCTGAAGAAAGTATTGACTTCCTTTCCTGCTTAACTGATTACAATCTTCAAGATGGTGGTTATTTGGGATCTAGATTTACGTGGAGTGACAATAGGGATCCTCCCAATACCATCTGGAAAAGATTGGATAGACTAGCCTACAATGATCAATGGTTTGATGTCTTTGGAGGCACTACTGTTACTCATCTTTCAAGGACCTGTTCTGATCATGCCCCTCTCCTGATCAATTGTGATACCAACAACTCTAACCACATCAAGTACTTCAAATTTCTTAATGTTTGGACTGAGCATGAAGAGTACTTACCTATTGTCCAAAAAGCTTGGGATGAAGCCCAAATTGGCAACCCCCTTTTTCTGCCTTCACCAAAAAATTAAAAAAGTTTGCAACCACCTCAGTTCTTGGTCTAGAGCAACATTTGGAGACATTTTTTAAGAACCAAAGAAGCTGGAGGTACTTATAAGAAGCTAGGAAGACAACTATGTGAACCACAACACTCCTTGGATTCAATACAAATCTACCCACATTATAATAGCATCCCAAGAGTTGTCAAAGGACTCATAAATATGGATAGATGGTGCGTACCATCCTTTAGAGTCAAAAGATGTCAACCCAATGCCTTAACATACGATCCTCCATGAAGACCATGAGTATGAATTACTATTAGTTTTTGGCTAGGATCGTTTTCTTTTTGCATTATCACTTGATTGGTATGCCAATCTCTCAAGAAGGTATGGCCAATCCATCCTTCTTCAAATGTAATCTCCTTCAGATGGCAATACAAAGTGGTGTTTATATATTAAAAAAAAAAAAAAAAAAAGGTGAAAAGTTGTAGGTTTGGCAGATGTCTCCTAGCTTGTGAAATTTATAATTGCTTTTCCTATCAACATGTCATGCTATACAAAAATGCTATCTTTTAGAAGACAACATGACACTACAGAGACAACCCACGAAAACAGCTAACATTAAATGTGAAAACAGATAAAAACATTTCTTATTCTAAAACTTGGAGCCTTTAGTCTTTACAGTTCAGGTGCTTCCCAAAGCAAGCTTTTTTTTTTAATCGTTTTAGGGCCACCTTACGCGTACCTCGACTAATTCCACGAGATATCTGTCACCTCCCACCAGCAACAGATACCACATAACTTTGTCCCCAAGGCTAGGACAGGTCAGAGAAATCACCTAGTGTTTTTGTCGGTGCTGGGTTTGAACCCAAGACTTCATGATTCTCAACCACTAAGCCACACCCTTGGGTGCCAAAGCAACTTATTAGTTACTTTTACTTTATTGATCATATTGTAAATAGGATTCTTTTTGTTCTTTTTTGAAATAGTAAACTACACCTTTTGACTTGAACCCACACTTTTCATGGTTGAAAAATGACACAGAAAGAAAGATGTAATATTTGCACGTTTGTTCACAAGAAATATGCACTGTTAAAAAAATACATAGCATAAGGGAAGCTGTTTCTACCTTTAAATCAGCTCCAGCACAAAACACTTTAGGAACCGAACTGCAGATCATCAAAACATTTGCTGAACGTTCATTACTCACAGCTTCAAACGCTTGCTGTAATCCTCTAAGCATATCCTTTCCAATCGCATTTCTCGCCTCAGGTCTATCCAATTTAACCTCCAAAATCCCTGCAATTCACCCGCCAAGCCTCTATAACCAATTTTTTATAATAAAAAAAAAGTTGTTTGATTGCACAAATAGCAACAACAGAAGTAATAAAGTGGAATTACCGGAATCAGAATCGGAAAGTCTTTCCAATTTGACGGATTCAGAAGCCGACTGTAAGATTAGAGTTCTATGACTCTGAAACTGCCATTTTTGGACTCCATATCTGGAGAAGTAAGAGTTGGAGTAGGGTTTTGATCGCTTCAAGCATTGCTGTCCGACGGATTTAGCTATGGCTACAAATGCAACTACCATTGCCGGAGAAATTAATCGATTTTTGAAGTATAGAGAAATTTATTTTCTCCTCTTTGATTTATATATTTTGCTATAGAAAATGATGCAATAGATAGGTCTGCTCCTTTCAAGTTTGAGCTATGAATATTTGAGATTTAGTCGTTTTCAAAGGGTGCTATTTGGTGCTAATTTAAATTTAGTCTAATTTCAATATATATATATATATATATATATCATTTCTACTTAATATTATCACATTAAATGATAGATTTGAGAAATGATTATTAGAAAAATAATTTTGATACTTCAAAAAAAAGTATTTGTATTATTACCTTGATTAATTTCTTAATATCTTGGTAATAACTATTTAATATATTAATTATTCTAATATTTCCCAACTTTTTATGAATTATCCTAATATATTTTTAATGACTATTATAGTCTTTAATTGACAATTATCTTTAATACCAATTCTAACATCCCTATCTTTGACCTCTTTATTGTCATTACTCCTCCTCACATTTGCTCTTTTCTAATTATCAATTAATCTTATTTTTAACCATAGGTTTGGGCCATGAAACTCAATACTGACCTTTATTAGTGAAAATAAAATAATGTAAAAAAAAGTTTTGTATAAAATAATAAAATAGTAAGGTGGCATCTCTATCCAAAAGATAAAGATTGACACACTAATTTTCTCATTATCCATTTATTAGATGATTTTTTTATCCTCCTAACTAAATTGCGTGTCCTAAATGGTCTTGAAACCTATCATAGAGCCCCCAAAGGTGGTATTTTGTCAAGGATGCATAGTGGCACTTTGAGAAAATATATTTTTTGAACTTTTCAAAAATTATTGTTGAATAATATTAATGAGGAATCGTTTTGTTTACATGCTATGCTAGTTATGCATGAATTGTTTATATGGCTAATAATGATAAATAAATTGTTACGTGATAAATAATACGTAAAATCTCATGTATTATTCATTATTTTTTGTAAAGGAAAGAAGGAACTTTATAGAAAAGTTTGAATGAATCGGTTAAAAAGATATTAAAAGTAAATAATGAACTTTACAGAAAAGTTTGAATGAATCAGTTAAAAAGAAATGAACATTAAGAACTTTCAGTACAAAGATTATAGAATATTTATTGATGAAACGTAATCTATGAGTATATAATATGGAGTATAATATAATGCTTTATATGAACAAAATGAACTACAACTCAATCAACATATATGATTCCTTCTTATAACGGCTTCTAGCTAATTACAACTATCATAAATCTACTTACTTATATGGTGTTTAGCTATAGAATATTTGAAAATTTAAGTGAATTGTATCAAAGAGTGCCTTTTTTAAAAAAAAAAACTTGAAGTAGATCAAATCATCATTATATCATTCATAAATGAACAATTTTTAGAAAGATACTTTAAACAAAACTTCAATTAAACTTCAGATTAAAAAAAAAAAAAAAAAATATTGATCAAGAATGCGACCGACACAAGCCTTTTGCTCATACTCACAACTGAAATCCTCAAAATTGCTACTAAATTCCTCATGTTCGTTATCAAAATTAGAAAGTGTGAAATTTTAAATTCTTGTATATACTTATTTATATTTTGATTTTCCTTTATAAAAAATCGTAATTTCACTATTAATATGAGGTTCCCAGACATACCTAAATTAGCATTTAAAGAACTAAGGTACCAAGTGTTAAACTTCTATGAGCATGCAGAAAAATAAATTTAGCAATTTAAATATAAGACTTAAAAAAAATCATAAAAGTGGTGATGTTCAATTTCTTGTTATGTACTAGTATCTACAAGTTCAAAAAGTGAACACACTAGGTTTCGTGGTGTAGTTGGTTATCACGTCAGTCTAACACACTGAAGGTCTCCGGTTCGAGCCCGGGCGAAGCCACTTGATATTGAATATATTTTTTGCCTAGGAGAACGATATTTTCATATGAATTTAATAAGTATGTCAAAAGAATATCGAGCCATCCTCCGTGAGCATTTGGATTGTGGTGGGTGAGCATACCTTCAGCGAAAAATTATATTATTTATATATGGTTAGGGACGTCAATAGTACGGTTCGTTTGGTTATTTTTAAAAAATTATACCATCCCAATTTTTCGGGTATTTTATAATATATAACCAAATTAGATTTTTTGAAACCATCCCAATCATATCAGTTTCTCTTCGATATATGTATGGTTCGGTTAATTTTCAGTTTTTATTATTCTTAAAATATCACCTCAAAATATACTATTATTAATGTATTTCTTTCACAAATATGTTCTTGAAGAAACACTTTAATTCTTCACCTGAAAGACAAGAATGTAAAACCTTGTTGCAGTATTACTTGATCTTAAATATTTAATAATAGTGTTTGGATAAGTTTTGTTGTATTGTTTGATAAAGTATCTATTAGTTTTAAACCTAATTAAGTAAAGATTAATTAAAGAGCAAAGACTCAAAGTCGTCTAGTCACCAAAGGCCTAGGACCTACGTTATATTTATATTTGAAAATGTTATTAAATATATTTATATATTAAATTTAACATATTGTTAATATATAAAATCTATCTACATATATGTGAGGTTATTCAGTTCAGTTAAAAAAAATTCAATTTTTTTCATAAATTAAAATGACCATCTCAATTGTTCAGGATGGTTATACACTTAAATAAAAGTCCACAATTTTATTTAAAAAATAGCATAAATCAATTCAATTTGGTTAGGTTCGGTTGGTTTGGTTGGTTTTTCATATTATTTTGACAACTCTATATATGGTTAAAATAATTTTTTGGGTTTATATTGTAGATGTCGAACCCCTTTCGGCTACTTCGTGTCTATTTTTTCAAATTTTGAACCCCTTTTATTAAAAATACTGATTCCACTACTGGTGGAGAGCTCTTGACGTCTAGAGACTTGTTGATGTTGTTCTTTTGTACTGACTCTCATTTTGTATTTTGGATTAGTCAGTTCTCTCTCTCTCTCTCTCTCTCTATATATATATATATATATATATATATATATATATATATATGACTTTCTGTTTGTAGTAGCTCATGTATAGGTGATACCTGGTCCCGGGGATTGATAGCTTGTGTTAGTTTGTCTGTTGGTCACTTTCGGGCCTATTTTGTACATTTTGTATCGTACTACAGATATATATGATATGACTCTTCTTTCTATATACATTATCCTTGTCTTCCACTTTTATTATTTAAGTATTACTCCCTCCGTGCACTATTGTTTGTCATGTATACTAAAAATAGCTGTCCAAAATTAAGTGTCAATTTAAACAATCAAAAAATAATTAGTTACTTTTTTCCAATTCTGCCCTTAATAATTACATAACTATTAGTTTCAAAAAGTAGCCATTTTAAAGTTACAAAACTACTTTAATGGGAAAAAAATTGTTTTTACGGTTTTCAAAAAGTACAAACCATTTTAATAATGATTGATAGTAGGGCTATATTAGTCTAATTGCACATTATATTAATTTTTTCTTAAAAATTGTGCATGATCTTACCATGACAAACAATAGTGGACGGAGGGAGTATATAAATTGGTGTCTTCCGTATTTTATTACTTGGGTTTAGGCTTGTCCACTCAGGGGTTGTAGTGGACACCATGTCACCATCATGGCCCGACTTAGGGTAAGAATTCTTCGAATTCTTTCTTTATTATTCTAGGTGGTCAAAGATCTAAACTAGGTAATATTTTTTACTTTTTTTTGTGGTAATCACAAAGTAAATGATCTAAAAAGAAACTATAAACGATGCTAGTTGCTCTTCAACTAAATTTGTTGTTTACTAGTTATACAGGCGAAGTCAGGATTAAGAGTTTGGGAGTTCTAAATTTCTTTAATAACTGTCAATTAATTTTGTTAGGGGTTCACAAATTAATACACATATATATTTAATTAATTTTCTAGTATAAATATAGGGTCTACGGAAAAGCTACTGGTTCATCCGAACCCATGAAGCCCCACCTAACTCTGCCTCTGACTAGGTACACGGTTAATTTCTAATTTCTAGTTAGGTCTTTTAATCCAGTATTGTTTCAATAACAAATTATAAGAAAAAACAAGGATATAATTAACCTATTAAGGTTATAACAAGAATTCAAATATAAGGTGCAAAGAAATTAAGTATTTGCGTTGGCCAGTGGTAGAGAACAAGAACTCCAAAAAGAGATGAGGAGAGATTAAAATTAGTTTCCCTTCGACCAATAAGAAAATGAGTAATCCACACCCACACTAATAAACTGTTAACGTAAAATTTCAATCATTTCACTAACCGTTAATAAGATAGCCAAATATCAATAAGTCAATCTTTCAATTGGCTTATCAATTACAATTTGATTTCCCTACAAGTCACCTAATTATGCCAACCTTCCGTATAAGCTCCTCACTTCTTGTTGGTTGAATCATTCCACGTCATTGTTTCTTTCGAATTTTCATTACTTACAATCAAAGATATAATTAAGATTTTGAATTTATGAATTCTGACTTCTAAGAAACGTAACTCATTGGATTCTTGACATATTTATGTAATTAAGTTATTTTGTTAGTTCTATTAAATTCACGAGTAAAGTTGTAACTCTGCCTCTGCCTTTACCTATAGTTAAAGTATTTTGGAAATGACGGATATATATATATATATATATATATATAGTGAATATAATAGATCAAAACACAAATTAGTATCATTCTTTTGCCACTTAAAAAATCATAAATGAACAACTTTAGAAGAGTACATTAACATAACTTTATTAAATTTTAACTTCACAAAAAGTAGTGTATTGCAAAGATGTAGATACTTGCAATAATATCTACCTCCTTTATATGTTTTTATAGAGCATCCTTTTCTGATTAGTTTAATCTCCCTTTTTAATATTGATATTTTTATAGAATTTTTTTGAACTTACGAAGTTAGTCAGAGAAAATTATCTAGATAGTATATTTTATTCTATCTAATCGAATTTGTTTGTCCTCTAACCAAATTATGGAATGTTCTTTGATATAATAGGTATCCATCCATTTAACTTATATCTTGTCCTTCTTAGTACTATAAGATTCTAAAGGAGCTAACAAATTGTTAACTTATTCCAACTCTAAAAGTATGAAGTAAAATCAGTTGATCTAGCTAGACATCAATATCCTCATTGCCTACCTTGATGCTATTTATGTGTTTAATAATGTGGCCAATATAATTGAATAAAACGATTAATTTATGATTTACACCCCTAATATATATGTTTTTTTATGACTTATAACTTATTCTATTATGTTTAATGATTAGCATCCTAGCTAATCTCATTATTATTTTTTGAAATCATAAAAAAGTATTTTGTTTCAATTATTTACAAAGGAATAAAATAGAAAATTACATATAAAGAAAAATAAAAAAGTGATTTGAATTAAAATAAAAACAATATTAAATACAAGTCATTTGTCACTTCTTTTCCACTAAAATGAAAAAACAATCATTCATTTCTAGTACATTTTTTAGGGGTGATGAACAAAATTGAACCCCAAACTGCAAATTGAATCAAATCGGAAAAAAGGACTAATAGTTTTGTTTGACTTGATTTGATATTGAAAAAAATATCGACTATATTTGAGTTGCTTTGGTTTTAACTAATAAAAGGCAATCCGAGATCAAATCAATCCAATATTATATTTATGATTTTTAAAATTTATTTAATACATATTTATTTTATTATTATATAATTTTTATATTTATTTTAACTTTCTCATAATTTTTATGATCTATATCTCATTGTACATGTATTAACAAAGACAAAGACCAGAACTAGAGGTGTCAAAAGTATATGAAAAAACAAACGAACCTAACCCAACCGATTTATGTCATTTTTTTCAATAGAACTGTGGACTTTTATTTAAGTGTATAATTATCCCGAACAATTGGGATGGTCTTTTTAATTTATGAAAAAAATCGAACCGAACTGAATAACCTTACATGTACGTAAATATATTTTATATATCAATAATATGTTAAATTTAATATATAAATATATTATATAACAATTTTTAAATATAAATATAACCTAGGTCCTAAGCCTCTGGTGAGTGGTGACTGGTGACTAGTGATTGAACGACTTTGGGTATTTGCTCTTTAATCTTTAATTGATTGGGTTTAAAAATAAATGATATTATAATAGATACTCTATCAAACAATACACATAAACATATGCAAACACTCCTATTAAATGTTTAAGATCAATCAATACGGCAACAAGGTTTGACGTTCTTGACTTCTTGGTGAAGAACTGAAGTGCTTCTTCACGAACATATTTGCAAAAGAAATATTTTAATAATAATATATTTTGAGATGTTATTTTAAAAGTAAAAAAAATGCAAATTAATTGTACCGGTACCAAAGAGAAACCGATATGATTGGAATGGTTTTAAAAAGTTTGATTTTGGTTATACATCATAAAATACCTAAAATTTTGGGATGACATAATTTTTAAAATTCGATCGAACCGTCCCATTGACACCCCTAACTAGAACAATCAGTTATGTTGTTGGAAGAAAATAATCTAATCTAATCATATTATATTATATTTTAAAAATAATAATTTGTTGATGTTTCTATTTTATCATTGTAAATGATTAAAAGTGAATTGTTTTATGAAGAACTAAGGAAATTAGGGTGCAAATCATTAAAAATAATAGAATAAAGGTATAAGTCACAAAATAGCATATACATTAGGGTGCAAATAGCAAATTATAGAGTAAATACCAAAAAAAAAAATAGGTTAATAAGTAGCATGTTTAAGCCCAAAAACAAATGCTCAACACTTAGGGTTTTTTTGGAACTTGTGATTGAAGGGAGTAATTACAGTCTCCAATTTTCGCAGCGGGCAAAGAATTGATAATAATCACATAGTATAATTATGAAATGGATGAATAGAAGGACAGGAGATTAAGCAAACAACTTGACTATAATATAGGTAGGATGTTGATGTGAACCGTAAGCGGCAGATCGGGAAAGTGGTAGTTGCGCGTGAATTCATTTAAAGCAGAAGGCGACTTGATTCACATTATTGTTGTCTATAGTATAGATCGAATGTTGTTGTAAGTAATAAGCAGTAGATTGAGAAAGCTAGTGGTCTCGTGTGAATTGATTCAAGTCAAAGGGTGGTTTGATTCGACAATAATTGTAGTATAGGTCGAATGTTGTTGTGAGTAGTAAGCAACATATTGGGAAAGTTGGTGTTGTGTGTGAATCCATTCAAGGCAAAAAGCGGCCTAATTTGACTCTGTTGTTGACAATAGTATAGATCGAACGTTGTTGTGAGCAGTAAGCAGCGGACTGGGAAAGTTGGTGACTACGTTTGAATTCATTCAAAGCAAAAGCAGCGAATCGGGAAAGCTAGTGACTGTGTGTGAATTCATTAAAGGTAAAGGGCTACTTGATTTGACATTGTTGTTTATACCGTTTAGTACACAATCTAATAATTACACCATAGTTTCCAAACACACCATTAGATTTTTGGAGCATTTTTCAAGTCCCTAACCAACAAAATGAATCAAAATAGAGAAACAAATGTAACCAATTTAATTAATTGATATATTTTCTCAAACCTATTAGAATTTTAGAAATTATAGGTTATTTAAACTTGCTATGCCAAATTTGCATAAAACTATTAACCAGCTTGACACTTGTAATAATGTCATTTGATAAGGAAATCTACTCCCTCTATCTACCTCTTTAGTTACCATTCCAAAAAAACTTGGCATAATTGCATTAAAAACCAAGAATCATTGTGAATAGAGTAACAAATCACTCATTTATTATGTTTTATGCATGCATTTCTTATTCTAGAAAAAAATGTATACAACTATTATTTGACCTTTTTATAAATTTAGCACCATTTGTTTCATTCTCAAAAACAGGAGGAAAAAAAGTCTTAAAAGAGATTGTTTTATGATTGAAAAAATGGCAGGAAGATCAAGAAAACAGAGAAGCAGTTCTAGTTCTTGGAGTTCGGAATCTTCATACAACATGAGTGACTTGCAATATGGTGCAAAATTACCTGAGAAAAAGGCTAAAGAAGAGTTTTTGGCCAACCCCATAAGAGGCTATCTCACTGAAGATGACACAACTCATGATAATTCTTCAATGGGGAGAAGCAGGAAACGAAATCGCCATTCGAAGAAAGAGCAACATATTAAGGATGAAACATTTTCATCAGAGGATAATCAAGATCCTTCTGTTTCAAGTAAGAAGAGAAATACGCGGGGTAGGAGGAAAAGAGCAGGAATAAGTAGAAAAGGGAAAGTAAATGGCCAAAAACAGAGTAGAGCAACAATACTTACATGGCTTATAGATTGTGGGGTAATTCAAGAAAATGCAGAAGCTGTTGTCATAGAAGAGGAGACAACAAAGAAAATGGGGAAAATTAAGAAGGAAGGCATACTATGTTCTTGTTGCTGTACTGTTCTTACAGTTGGAGACTTCTATAAGCATGCTGGAGGAACAACTAGCAAACCTTATGAGTACATTCTCATTGCTGAAACATGTTCTTCACTCTTGTCTTCCATGGTTAAAGCTTGGTATCTACCAGAAGAAAGTAAATTTCATCGATTTAACTCAATTGAAACCAGCCATGATGCGAGTGACTCGTACGATGATGCTTGCATGATTTGTGCTGATGGAGGGAACCTGATGTGTTGTGACAACTGCAGCTCTACTTACCATCATAATAAGTGCTTGGGAATGCAGGTGATAAATCATTTTCACTATATAGTTATCTTTAAACATCAGCTAAGCTCTTACTATGTGCGGGAAATGGAAAAGGGTTGGATCACATATCATATGCAGTCTGCACTAAGCTCTTGCTATGTGCAGGCTTCGGGATAGGATCTATTGTATGCAACCTTATGTTGCATTTCTGCAAATGTTGTTTCTGAAACTTGAACCTGTGACCTTCTAGTCACACGACTGCAACTCTTATCGTTGCAACAAGGCTCTACTTTACTACATAACTATCTTTAATTGGGTTAAATCATACTGAAACTAATAAATTGTGGAGTTTCTGAATTGCAGGAGGTTCCTAATGGTTCGTGGTATTGCCCATTTTGTGTGTGCAAAATCTGTGGTGATCCTGCTTATGAAAATGATTATTTGCAGAAATGTCAACAATGTGAGAGAAAATGTAAGTGAAGATAAAAAAAATTCTTGCTTCTGTCTGTACCCTTTTGAGTTTCTTGTTCTATGTTGCAAACTCTTATCCTCTAAGGAATTGCAATTTTAGACAGTACATTTTTTTCCTATTGTACAGATCACAGGGAGTGCCGTCAAGCCAGAGAACCAGTCAGTTTAGACATGAATGAGACCCAAGAAGACACATTCTGTGACCTTACCTGCAAAAAGGTAATACACATTATTCTAAAGCAGTTAATTTTAATGTTTCTTTCTTTGTAGCAGAGTGAAAAGAGGTGCCTAAGTCAGTTTGTGTGTAGCTTGATTACTCCTCTAGGTACCTGCTATCTCCCATAAGCACAAATAGCGGATAACTCTGTCCTGTTAGACTTAGGCAGATGAGAATAAATCACATAACATTTATTGTCTCTGCATTAGGGTTAGAAATATACATAGACCTTGTACTTAGAAATGACTTATAGGCTTATTAGCTACTACTAATGATAACTAAGATGTTTTTTAATTGAATTATTATTGTGAAGATTTATGATGAACTGGAGAGGCGCTATCTTGGTGTTCAACATGAGCTCGATAAAAGCTACAAATGGACACTTCTTCAGAACACAGATGATGGCTCTGGAATTAATATAGAAGACGATTATCAAAGAACTGTGTGTCACTCCAAACTAGTTGTGGCACGACGACTTATGGAAGATTGTTTCGAGGAAATTATAGACAGGCATACTAAAATTGATGTCGTTAAAAGTCTGGTCTACAACTGCGGGTAATCTACAATCTCTCATCACACCATTACACTGACGAATAAACACATGAACTCTCTTTATTTCCTAATGAAAACTTCTTGCAGGTCAAATTTCAACAGGATGAATTTCAGGAGCTTTTACACATTTATTTTAGAAAAGGATGAAGAGATCATTTCTGCAGCAACCATAAGGTATATATCTCTCTTAAACCAGACTCAACATCAGTCATAACTATGCGTTTTTTAAATGCTTATCATCTAGTTAATATATCGCAGGATTCATGGAACAAACCTTGCTGAAATGCCCTTCATCGCGACAAATAAGGAATATAGGAGAAAAGGAATGTGCAAAAAGCTAATGGTTGCCATTGAATCAGTAAGAATGTCATCTCATTTTTACACTATCGGTATATTTCTGATTATTGAGGTCACTAATCCTATTATTAATGAACGGTTACCTATAGTTATCTTTAACATGACCTAACTTTTACACTGCCAGTGTACAAAAGTTAAATTCTTTTGTTAATTCTTATAACTACTTGAGCTGATGATCCTATTTGTTGCAGACTCTTTCCTTTCTAAAGGTAGAAAAGCTGGTAATTCCATCAGTATCAGACTGCATAGGGACCTGGATAGAAAGCTATGGTTTTCGTCTCATTAGCTCTCCACTACCGAAAGAGATAACATTGCATAATACATTGATGTTCCATGATTCAGTGAGATTGCAAAAAGATATCCGTCCATCCACTTCTGATAAGGTATATCGAGCTAATTCTTGAGGTTATTTTCATCCTAACTAATCCTCCTCCATCCAAACCAAAAAAACAAAAACAAAAAAATTATATGCCTAATCTTAACTTAATGGTGTAGAACAGATATTAAGGATTTATATAACCGACTGCAACTCATTTGGAACTAAGGCATGATATTTGTTGTTGCAGCCAGAGGAGACATGGAGTTCCCCGAAGAAATGTGAAGAGCCAAGACCCTTTGACTTGAATGTTGAAGCATCTCATCAACAGGACAAAGACTGATAATTAAATTGCATTTTCGAAGCACTATAGTTCCTATATTTATGATAAGGATTTCAAATTTAGTAAAGACCTCTTAGATAGTCATTTACATTTCACAGGCCATGCCTATATACTATTTTGTTACAGATGTACCTCAATTTCAAGATCATTGTTATGCTCATGTTTCCCTTTTCTTTTTTTAAGTTTCGTTCTTTTTGTTGAGATTCGATAGAGGTTTGTTTGCTTAAACATGAATTTATTTACATGTCATGAATAATGAATGTTTTCCAAAGTGACTTAGTGCCAAAGAATCCTAGAGATCTTTCCTAGGGTACATTGGTGGCAACAACAAGAAAACAAAAGCCTGAACAATGCAAAAGATATACCATCTTTCTTTTCTTAAATATCGAAAAGGACACCTTGAAATTCTGTATTTATTAAGTAGCAGGGCCAAAAGAGGTTGTATATACAGAGACACAGAACACATTATGTCAAAAATCTCTATAGTCTAACAATGGCACCTGGAATTGAAGAAGAGCATGTTGAGACACTTTCAATGAATGGCAATAAATGCAAGTCAAGAATTTCATATGATCTCAGGAAGAACAGCATGCACTTAACCATGACGATTTCGGAGATGTAATTCAAGATATTTCAGTGATTAGTCCTAATAATTGTATTTGGGACAATAATCAAGAACTTTAGGAAAATATCTGCCAAGCTATGGTGAAAGCAAGAGAAAAATGGGGATTCTTTAAGCTTATGGACCATGGGGTGCCTAGTGAGGTAGTTGAGAATTTTACCAGTCGCTTGCACGAGCTTTTTGATCTTCCCATGGAACAAAAGCTCAGAGGTGGCAAAACATCAAGCTTGCCATTGGGGTATTACGCCTAAAATCCCGAGTATGAGAAGAACTTATCTTGGGCTGAAATCTTGCAGCTACTGCAGTCACCTGAAATAGTTGTCCAATTCGCAAAAAAGGTCTATGATGACCAATACCACACATTTAGGTACACAAACAACAACCTATACTTCAATACATCCCTTAATGTGCGAGTTTGGTTCATTTTGATGGGCAAGGCACGGAGACGAATTCAAGATTTAAATTTGATCAATTCAACCTTTTAAGTTTTTATAAATGCTCCATATCAAAAATAGTTAGGATGAGCCCGGTACAGGAGGGTTGCATCCATCCCTAGCTAAGCACATACAAATTCTTTTTGATGAAGGATGGCGGTGAGATTTGAGATTTGAACTCAAGACCAGAATCTATAATTAATATCATGTTAAATTGTGTGACCAGCTCATCTAAGCTTAAGTTGTTAGAAAAAGTACACTTAAGTTTACAAAATTCTTACCAAAAATATGCTTGGCTACCTTTTTTTCAAACAAAAAAACCTTACCAAATATGTTGTTTTTAACTCTGATAAATTAAACAGCAACACAATGATAGAGTACATGGAAGAAATGGACAAGCTGGGAATGATTATAATGGAGATGTTGGCTCATGGATTAGGCCTTGCAGATGACTTCTTCAGCAAGAACTTTGAAGAAAAGGAGGTTACTATTTTTAGAATAAGCAGATATCCTCCTTGTCCTCTTCCAGAGAAGATTGTAGGAATAGGGATCCATTCAGACTCCCAAACATTAACCATATTGTATCAAGACCAGGTTGGTGGCATTCAAGTCCTCAAGGATGACAAACAATGGATTGGAGTTAGGCCACTTCCTAATTCATTTGTCATCAATATTGCTGACACCCTTGAGGTCATTCTCTCCTCCCTTTCTCAAAGGATCAAAAGAAGAAATCATAATTATTACTACTACATGATCAACTGCAATTTTCTTAATGCGTGTTTGGAATGACGAAAATCATTTTTCAAGAAACTGTTTCACTAGGGAGTCACTTGATGATGTTAGGTTACTAGATGATGTTCTCCCAGAAAAACACTTTCTATCAGAAGGGAAAATGAAATGGCTTGCCCTCACTTATGGATGGAACTTGGAAGTCAATACTACTTATGACTATCTCAGCTTTTAATGTCATATAACTTCTTCCAACCAACATTTAGACATTATTACCTATCTTTAGTACTCAAAAATTTCATCAGAAATGAGAAAACTATCTGACTTATGCCATACCACACACATGTTTTTTGTATACTGAGTAATTATACACCCTTATATTTCTAGCATGTTTGGACAAATGGAAGGTTAAAGAGTGTTATACACAGGGCAGTGGTGAATAAGGAGAAGCAGAGGCTATCAATTGCATATTTCATGAATCCAACAAGCAGTGCAACAATTGAATGCCCTCAACAGCTTATTGATTCAGTTTCTAATCCAAGAAAATATGTACCTTTTACGTGGGGTGAACTGCGGCACCTTCTTTTGACTACCAGGAGAGTTAGGGGCAAAACTGTTGCCATCAATAATTTCCTTATTTCTAGTTGAAACTTGAGAATCCTTCTTCGTTTAAAATCTCTCGTCGTGATTGGTAGCAAGATCCACTAATTTGGATGAGACTTCAACCTTGAATGCAAAAATACTTCTTGATAGCTTCTTTTTATCCTTCGAAGAGAATAAATGCAAAGTGACAGAAGAATACATGCTCAGCTCGTTTGGTTTAATAAACAAGCTCAAGTTCCAAACTGGAACTTGGTTTGATTAAGTAATTTACTTGAGCGCGATGGAGAACTTAGTTCATATTGAGCTCGACTCACTCATCTCGTTCTAAATGACCATAACTTTTCTAATATAGGAAAACATTGTTACATGCAAAAATAGCATAACCAATAGAACTTGCCTACCAGGTCAAAAAATGCATAAAAAATCTAAGGTAGCCAAGCTTTTGCTAACCATAAACAAGTTGAATAGAGCTTGTGAAAACTCGACTCATTCAATAACGAGCTAAGTCCACTTGTTAAATAAGCATACTGAGCTCAAACTTATATGACATGGTTTCATTTGTGAACATTACGGATTCAGTTGCAGCTCCACCATTATCATTGTTATTAGCTCAATGTGCATTACACAAGTAATGAAGTCACTTCATAAAAACAAATCGCCGTCTGTTTCTGAAGCAATTCTTAAATGACCATCACTAATACTACTTGACACTAATATAAAATAGGCACAAGTGATGCGAAATACAGAATACAAAAGTAGAAGCTACCACTATAAGATCCATAAAGGAAAAAAGGATCATCAAACCTTCGATAAACCTCTTCTGCTATCGATGCTCTAGAAATTGTAGCTACGGACAATTAAAAAATAGGTACAAGAGAGAGGCAAATAAAGCTTACGAGATTAGAAGCTTCGATAAGATTCTTAAAGAGAAGGATCATCCAAACCTCAACAACCACTTCTACTGGTTTCACACTGTTTTCCATGCATTCCATGATAATTCTGCATTTGAAGATTCCATATTGTCACTGCTGTCTTGATTAGAGGAGTAGTTGTACCTTATAAAGCACTTATTAGGGAATCAATGAAGTAAAGGTTCATGTTTTGTAATATCATCAGGAAGATCAGAACTAACAGAGAACTTCAACCATCTCTTATTCTCGATAAGCTTAAGACAAGGTTGCATCACCAAACCAATTGCAACGGCGGCAAGGCTTACAACCATGACTTTGAATGAAGACAAGGCCAAAACAACACATATGAGAATGGTTGGAGGTATACACAATAGGATGGCTCCAACAGTTCCCCCAGGTATCTTGAATGGCCGTGGTGCATGGGGGGACTTTATCCTTAACAATACAAATGCTATAAATTCCAAGATCATGCCAAAGCAATACAAGAAATTTTCTGCAGCTACTATCTCTTGAAAGCTCAGCCATGAAAGTAAAATCACACCACAAGCTGAGAAGAGGATCCCAAATAAAGGAGTTCCGTAACGAGATCTCTTAGAGAAGAACTCAGGCAGCAACCCCCTCTCTGCCATACCAAGTAACTGAAAAGAGTCGCTACTCATCTCGGCCACAAACATTCCCATATTTGATGTTGCAGCCGCCCCTTGAATCCAAACTCTGAGCCAGACTCCACCCAGTATTTTCGCAATATCAGAGAAATAGCCATCAGTCCACAAGTCACGCTCAAGAGGAACAGCTCCTGTACCAATTAACAACGGGAAAAAGTAGGACAGAACAACTAGAATAACAGCATAAAAGAGAGCCTTAGGTAGAGTCTTCTTTGGGTTATGTACTTCTCCAGCAAGAGTACTTATTGAGTCCCAGTAATTCAGATTCCAGAAGAGAGTATTCAGATACAAGTTCCAATCAACACTTTGTACATCTACCACTAACCATCTTGAAGGCCTTAATTTGGGAATCGAAATGAGACCCATAACCACAAAAGGAAGAATTGACAGTATACCAAGCGAAACAGCAACCCATCCTACAATAGTTAAGCCTCTGTAGTTCATGTAAGTAAGAACCACAGTAAGGGCCAAAACTGCTAGTACTCTAGGATGCCCGCCACCTAATGCAGGGATGGCTGATTTCAGATAATCCAAGAACAAAACAGGGTAAAGCGCATTGTCAATGACTCCACTCAACCATTTCATCCAACCTAGCTGAAAGCCCCAATAAGGACCTAAAGCCGATGAAACCCACACAACATAACCACCATTTTCAGGGAACATGGTGCCCATTTCAGCTGTAATCAATGCCTCGGGGACACTCCATATGAATGGGAAAACCAAGAACCCCAAAAGAGCAAGAAGAGGACCAGCTGCCCGCACAGTGTCCTCAACACCAAAAGGACCACCAGAAACCTCATAGAAAATGAGGAAAAGTAAAGGCAAGACTGAAACTTTCCTAGCATTATTTTCTCTGGGTGATGTAACCTCATTAATCCCTGCATACTCTCCATCATCGAACTCCCCCATTGGAATTGCAGTTTCTCTATGAGCAGAAAGCCCTCAATTTCTGCAATTCCCAACAAGTTTCAAGTTACAAAATCATCACAATTCTCAAGAATCACCACACACTAGCTAACTACATGAACAAAACACCAAAACAACAAACGATTTCTAACAATTGATAACATGGGTCGGCATAAAAATACAATTAAATTTACCAGAACAATCAAGAATGACAATTTCACATAATGGGTCGTCGTAATTTTTCAATACGTC